TTTTTTTTTTTTTTTTTTCCCTTTTTTTTCTTCTCCCTGATCGTGTCGTTTTCTCAAACGATCCCGCTGTCCCATCACCCCTCTGAGATTCACTGTCCCACCCGGCACGACCAGTGTCCTGTGATTGTGGCTTTCGGAGCGCAGGACCCGAGCTGCAGCCTCAATGCCCCCGGACAAATGACCACATTGCCGACAGGCCGCAGGTCTCGGAGAAGGCAAAAGTCGGATTTCGATGTCTTCCTACATCTGAAGTACACCAGCAGGGTGATGGAACCACTTTCCATCAGAAAGATGGTCAATGAGATTATTGCAAGGATAGTCGGGGATGAGACTGCAACGTGGCTGGAGCGCACGATGATTGGTTGGACTTATAACACCAGTATCGCGTCCAGACTTTGCAGGCCCGCGGAGGTATTCTGCGACTTCGACGTGGCGCAGTGGATGGAGGCCTATGATCCGGAGCTGTGCCCATGCAGATCGCGCAGGTACGCGGATATGCGTAGCCCTGCGTCGCTGAATCTACTCCAGTGTGAAGGGCATACACATGTAATCACGCTTGACTCATCGATCATGGGCAACCCTCTACTGCAGGGTATCATTAACTTCGGGCTGAACCACATCCCCTGCATAGCTCTGGATGTCGACATGGCGGAGAACGAGGTGGGCGATTTCCTGGATCGGCTCATGGCAAGGGTGTTGGAGCTACGAGAACTCACGACGTCCTCACAGTCGTTTCTGCGAAGGGTGATTTTGAGGAGGGCGAGAGCGAAGATGTCCAAGTACAAGGAGCAACACAAATATGTGTCCGCGGAACCTTTCGAACATCCTGCGGTAAATCGGGAACTGGAATTTCTCACTGGACGCTTTCTCACTTGTCCCACCGACAAGGCGCCGAACACTCCTGCGTTTGTGTGCAAGAACTTCATTCGGAAGCTCGCCTTCCAGAGGCTGTCCGGACCGGAGTTCGCGAGCATCGCCGCCCCCCCTGCCGCAGTAGTCGCACGGATACAAGGCGAGCTCTCGGCCTTTCCAGCACTTCCAATGGCACCTCCGGCGCTCTCATACCTGATGGCAGTTTTCAAGGCGCATAAGGGCGCATTCCGATGGATCACGAACACAGCCGGGACAGTCATCTCCCCAGCGGCGGACCTCTACGCATGCCTACCACGATTCCTTCTTCCCCTGGTGCAGACATTTTGTCAGGAGAGAAGCCTGGAGATGCAGGAGCAGTATGGGGTGAGACCAAACCTCTGGTGGTCGATAGCCTTGGTGGGGGAATTCTGCGCGAACTTGCCGGAAATAATTTTCTCTGTCTTCACGGCGGACATCACCAAATGCTTCGAGACAATACCCACGAACAACTCAGAGGATGGCCTACCTGCAGTGGTGAGATTCTACGTGCAGAGTGCAATGTGGGTGAGGAGGGAGAGGAGCTCGTGCCACATTATTCAGGTCAGACTGGGGGATGGCGGCAAGTTCAGGCCTTCGTGGGTGGATGCCGATCAGGCCGAGCGGATGGGCATGATGCTGTTCAAAGAGCAGGACGTTCTCTGACTCTCTAAATGATGTATCACCAACAGCATGCTGCGCATGGGGGATTATGTATGGAGGCAGGTCAGAGGAATCCCCATGGGTCTGGCATGTTCCCCAATCTGGTGTGATATATACTTCTTCAATTATGAATATCACGCCATGATGAGATTGGCGGACACCGGGAACGCCCATCTTGTCCCATACTTCTCGAACACCTTCAGGTACATCGACGATCTGAGCGCGATCAATAACACCATCATCAGGAGCTTTATGCGAAGGGAGGAGGACAGAGCGGTGGGTGACTCTTGCTGGATCTATCCTGCTGAGTACATCGAACTTAAGGAGAATACGGAGGTAGTGGACGGATACGGTCGCAGGACCAATTTTCTCAGCCTGACTATCGCAATCACCTTTCCGGAGACGGACACATTCATCACCTCTAAGCACGACAAGCGAGAGGGGTTGGGGTTCGCCCCGTGCAGGTTCATAAAGTATAAGTCGAATAGGTGTGCCAAGCAGGCGCTGCAGGTCATCACAGCCCAGGTCGTGCAGATCCTACTAATATGCTCCGAACCGGGTGATGCGGCTACATAGATCAACAAGGTGGTGACTACGATGAGGGGCAACGGCTTCGCTAGGGATGCTTGCGGGAAGGTGGTTAGGAAAACGTTGCGGAATGCGTACCGCTATCAGCCTGGCAGAGTCTCCGTACACACAGTCAGGGAGGCATTGTCCGATACGTATGGCTTCACTGACTAGTCGTGATTTCCTTGTGCGTGCTTGTGTCTGTATATGTGCGTATGTGTGTTGGGTGTCTGGGGGACGAATGACCGAGAGGGCCAGCTGTCCTCCGGGCATCCGCCCCCTCGGACCAGTTCATCCCTCGGAGGGAACGGGGAGGGACACACACACACACACACACACACACACACACACACGCATAAAGATGATTGAAGAAGGAGCGACAGGAGGCGATCTTGATGGCTCTAAAGACCTTCAACAGAAAAATTGTCGCAAATTTTCTAGCAGGATGATCACGTGTGGACACCACATTTCAACCGTTGGAACTTTGTTTATAAATTGTTTGGCGGGGGGGGGGTCATGTGTTCTACCAGAAGTGAAGGAAACCAACGCTGACCAAACATTGGGCTCACTGAAACTGGTGTGTCCATCTGTTGGTCCATTTGTTGAAAGGATGTTGGTCCATCTGTTGACCATTTGTTGACAACTTGTTGAAAACTTGTTGAAGACTTGCGGATAACTTGTTGGAACGTGTTGAGAACGTGTTGAAAACTTGTTGAAACGTGTTGAAAACTTGTTGAAACGTGTTGAAAACGTGTTCACCTTTCGTAGAACGTTATGTTCTGTGTATGGGAAAAAAATCGCTATTTTTGACTCATGTCGTCGGTTTCGCCGTTTCTTCCAGTCATTTTCTCCTGCTGCACGATATGATATGCTCTTTCGCAAATCTCAATCGTTGAGTCTTTCAGTACTCCTGACATGCAACGACCACAATGACTGAAGATAAAGAGAGAGGGCCAGAGAGAGAGAGAGAGAGAGAGAGAGAGAGAGAGAGAGAGAGAACCTGGGTTCACTACTGCGTGACACAAATTCACCAACATGGCACTGCGAGACAGACATTGGCCCGTAGTAGATAACCTTTATTTTTTATTGGTGCTAGATTGCGGTATTTCATTTTGCTGATGGACGTGTGAGCGCGCGTCGATTAAATGCTGAGCTGCCCTGCTACAAGCACGGTTCACTACTGCGTGACACAAATTTACCAACATGGCAGTTCGCGAGAGAGAGTGGCACGCAGTAGCCAACCTTCCTTTTCGAGTCTGTAGGATTGTCGTACTTCATTCTATAGATGGACGCGTGTGGGACCCTCAATTAAATGCTTAGATGGCCTGCTACGAGCACGGTTCACTACTGCGTGACACAAATTTAGCAACATGGTGGCATGAGAGAGAGAGTGACACGCACTAGCCAATCTCTATGATGATGACAACGACGGATGGTGTTTTTTTCATAACATAGTCGCTCTATGACCAATCACACAAAGATGAGCATTACAAGGGATTGTACAATTGTGTGTCATAAATAACAGACCATATGTTGTAAAGTGACTGTTCAAGTGCCATGGTTCAGAGTCTTCATCTCCCCGCCCCCCCCCTCTCTCTCTCTCTCTCTCTCTCTCTCTCTCTCTCTCTCTCTCTC